TTACTATAAAACAGCAACATTGATTTCTTTGTGTACTTCATGAAAAAATTTATTTTATTCATTTTCAGTCACCTTCATCTTCATCAGCCTAAAATCTCTGTAATGCAAAAAAGGCCTGATGATGTTTCAAATCCCAGAGACCCAAAGCAAGAATGATTCTGGTCTTAATGCCCCTTACCCTGTTCTTTTTCCTTCTCTAACCTTCTACTGCCTGTCATCCTTCTGCGTAGGGGACTACAGATCTTAGCATTTTTGTCACTTTGGGATTAAAGAGGAAGGGAAGGTAGAGATGGGCATGGAATGAATGGAAGATAAAAGAAGGAAGGTGGGTCATTGTTTTCCTGTTAAAGCTAAGATTCATCCCTGCCCTTTCCTTGCTTTGTTACACACTCTTAAGAATCATCTCTGCAACCACACTTCTTGGGTTCCTTTACGACTGGCTCCCAGTTCATTTGGCCATTGGAAGACTGGAGAGCAAAAGGAAGGAAGGATCCAGAATATTTTGTCCCATTCTTTCTCAGCCACATAGGTACAGGAATCATCTCAAGCAGTGGCTACGTCTGCTTCATAATTTCGAACTGGTAGGAGTGACTGTGATTCTGCTGTCTGCCAGAGACTCCCAGTTCTGAAGTCCAGTATTCCTGCTTTCTCTCTGGGTCTCTCCAGCCATAGGTACAGTAGTGGCTTACTGCTGCTGTTAATATCTTGAATGCCTCACCACCTCCTGTTTGGCTCTTCCATCGTCTTTATAACCAGTGACTTCAATTAAATTCCTTCTCTTTGAAAGTGCTAAAATGATTTTTGTATTCCTGACAGGACATGACTGACACAGAGCGATCGGAAGGGGGAGAATGAGTCAGATATTTTCTTTTCTAGGTATCCAGGGTTACTGTTATTATGGGTGTGGAAGGAGGCAGAGGTTGAGCACCTTGGGTATGCAACTGCTTTATTGTCATCTTATCTTCACAGATGAGGAAACTGAAGCTGATAGACATTAGGTGTTTACTGTGATCATATTGTTAATACATGGTTGAACAGGAATTTGAATGCAGAACTGATTCCAAAGCTTTTCCACTGGAGTATACTTCTTCCCTAGCAAACATAGGGCTACTTTCGGAAATAGTTCTTGAAGGGCTGAGGGGACTAAGATATAAAGCAGTAAATGTCAGATAACCCATGATCTGGGTTCCTGTCATGGCCACACCAAAGTTAGCTGAAGGTAGCTATTACTATGCTTCAAAACTAGTATATCTTTAAACATTGCCTTTTATCTCAGCCTGTACTCTGCCAGGATTTGGGGTGGCTAACTGAGAAACATTCTTGAGGTTCGAAGGTGTTCATTAAGAGCATCTGCTATTTTGTAGTTGTTTTTATGGAATTCAGGGCCTTTTGTTTAGAAGACTATAATTTATTTGGGAATTTCTTATCTTCCTTCCCTCACTGCAAAGGTTTATCTACACCATTAGTTTTTATATACCTGGCCTCAGTACCAAAAACAAACAAAATAAAACAAAACAAAACAAAGCAAAAAAAAACAAAAAAACAAAAAACAAAAAACAGTCTTGGGTAGAAGGGATGAAAGAGATTTATCCTTATGTGCTCAAATCTACTCCTATGATGTTGCTTCAAGCCTGGCTACTTCCAAATATTGTTTTGGAATATTTGGAATGTTTGCTTTCTCCTGAGATGTAGACATGTATGTCTACCTGTTTTCTGGGCCTCTTTTGGTATCCTCACACAAGTATGATTGAGCGTGTCCTGCACTCACTGTATTTTCCTATGTGGTTCTTCCTTTTATATTCCTGATTGATTTCAGTTGATGGCCCCACAGTAAAACACATTTCCCCCATTGACTGCTTGGCCAATCATCCCAACCCTCACCCTCTCCCTCAGACTCCACATTCAGTCAGGTGCCAAATCCTATTATGATCAGCTTTCTAAGTCATTCCCAAATCTATCTTCATTTATTCATTCATTCAGTATTTCACTGCTATATGGCTGGCCTGGTGTCCAGTGCTGGGAATACTGAAGTAAACCAGAAAGGCCAAAAGATATATTCCTGTCTAATTCTCTGTATGTTTTTTTTTTTCAGTTAGTCCTTTCTCCACCTGAATCCCACCATTAATCTCTTTACTGTTTGGGTTGTCTTTCTTCATATTCTCCCCTACCCATTTTGGCTATGCCCCTAGAATGAATTTTATAAAACTAAAATAGTAGGTCACTTTCTTCCTTAAAATCTTTCAGTAACTACACATAGCCTTCAATGCAGCCTATATGACTTGGGATGGCATATTGGTCAGGACACATCATGTCTATTTCTTTCAGCTTTTACCTATGATGCTTCAGACCTACATACTCACTTTTCCTGCAAACTCTTTGACCCTCTAGCATCTGCACATGTTATTTCCACTGCTTATAACACCTTTTCCTATCTTAAATTTCTGTTTACCCCCCCCCTTTTCCAAACCTAATAAAAAAGAATTTTATTCTCTGAATCAATTCTCTAAGTCCACCCCACACCTGGGGCTCCTTCCTTATGATTCCTGTTCTTGGTTCCCACAACACCCAGTGCATACCTTTATCATAATATCACAGCACACTTATCAGATTAATAGGTAAATGAACTGTCTCCTCCACTCTGCTGTGACTTCCTTGAGGGAAAGGACAGGCTCAGGTTCATTCTGCATCTCCAATGCTGGGCCCTGATCTATACACAGTAGGTCCTGAAGAGTGGATAAGTGCATATTTTAAAAATGTGAAGCAATGTACACTGTGAAACTCAAAATGAAAGACCACTTCTTACTATTTGCAAACTCCCATTATTTTCTCTGCTCATAAAGATAAAAATAGGTTCTGCTTTTGCACACCCAGCTATTAGTGTAATTACCTAGTTTTCTTCAGCTATTACTATAAGACATTTAACCAAGACTAAAGTTGTGTTTGTGGCCAAAGAATTCCAACCAGCCCAAGTTGTTCTAGAACCTATGAAACATCCCTAACAAATTCCCCAGCTCTGACTTTTATTACTAAAGTCTAACCGGTACCGTGTAATAATTTTAGAAAAATGTAAGAGTACCACCACCGTTTCTGCACTACACTGTTCAGGATTGCATCGTAGAGAGGGCCTGATACAGGAGAGTGCTCTTTTCTCAGGACAGTGTTTTCCTCAATGGGATTACAAATGAACAAATACGTATGTGCATCTTATACAGGTCACCGTAAGTTCAGAGTAACAGAACAAGCAGTTTTTTACACCCGCCAAAGAGCAAATCCCACGGAAAGACAAAACATTCTCAGATTTGCCTCTTGGATCATTTGATGGTATAAAAAAGATGGGCTTAAAACCACAGGTTGGTTCCCATACCATCCCTCATCCACCACGCACCAAAAGGAAAATATAACGACTTATTGACCAAGTACTTCCCCACTACTGGAATTGTGTACTAGTAGTGCCAGCGGCACTGGGAGTGTTTAGGCAGGTTTAAGCTGAGTAATACATTCAGGCGGTGCACGTATTTTACAAAGCATAGCGTTTTGCCCATATTAAGATAAACTTCCTGTACCTATTGACACATAACAGAGGTGTGTTTACACAGGATTACTCTGGCTTTCAGCTCCAAGCTAAATGAGTGGGGTTTTTTTAATTAAAAAAAATTTTTTTTAATGTTTGAGGAGACAGTGGGAGGAGGGAGGTGCATGCGTGCAAGTGGGGGTGGGGCAGAGAGGAAGGAGAGAGAGAATCCCAGGCAGGCTCCACCCTGTCAGCACAGAGCCCGATGCAGGGCTTGAACTCACCAAACCGTGAGATCATGGCCTGAGCCGAGACCAGGAGTGGTAGCTTAACTGACTGAGCCACCCAGGCGACACCCCTTTTTTTAATTAAATGTTTTTAGTTTTGAGCAACAGAGTGTGAACAAGGTAGGGGCAGAGAGAGAGAGGGAGGGAGGGAAGGAGACATAAAATCTGAAGGAGTCTCCAGGCTCTGAGCGGTCAGCACAGAGCCCAATGGGGGGCTCGAACCCACAGATTGCAGGATGATGACCTGAGCCAAAGTTGGACGCCTAATCTACTAAGTTGCCTAGGCACCCCCAAGCTGAAAATGAGTTTTAAGGTAATACTCCTGAGAAAAACTGGTTGTGGATTTAGTAGGAGGACCTATTTTGGTTGTAACAAGAATAGTATTTTTGTTATAATCTTCTCTTCTCAAGCGAGATCTACCCAGAAAATGTGATTGCACTTTAGGTGTTAAGGATTACTTTCTACAAAGTACTATCAATGAAGCCAAAGAGCTAACTTTCTGGCATGCTTCTATACTCCATGTCACACCCAAGCGTGCCAAAGAATCCGTGATCAAAGCATGTGTGATGCGGTGATGTACCATACAAAAGACAGTGGACCACAATTTCTGCTTTTTCATACTCTTTATTGCCAACAGTTTAAAATGGTCAACATAAAAAAAAAAGAAACATTTTGATAATAAATACTGCTCTTTGGGCTGTAATAAATAAAAAGTTTATTAACAAGGAATGCACTTTTCCAGCCACAAGTGTCTTCAAAAATTAACAAAAAAAAAATTATATATGGCCATAGTTCACAGTTGAGCAGCCAAAAGCTGCTCTGATTACAGCCTTTAAACAACATGGGAGCTTCCTCCCTTCTCCCTCCCCTTCGGGAAGTATATTCACAGTTCCAAGTCCTCTGTCTGAAATGCTCTCAACAGAGAGAAGAGTCAATGCACCTTCCTGCGAAATTGTCTGAAAAACCTTTTAATACAGGTACATCAAGGAAAACTGCATTCTGGTTCACTCTCAGACTGTCCAAAGTTAAGAAGTGTATGCGTCAGCCTGGTCTGGTTCCGCCCAGTCCAGCAGGCTCCAGAGGAATTGTTTTCGTACCACCACCTGTCCGTCTTTTTCAACATGCTATAGATCATCTGACTGCTTCCCTGTAGATCTCACAGTGGAAAAGAGGAGTCCCATAGGGTCCATTAAAGAAGTCGTTTAATTACATCTCTGTAAGAGCATGTTCAGAGCGTATTCCATTCGATTTTTTAATTCTGATGAACAGCCAGACATCAGCAGAGTTGTTAGTCTGAATGTTGTAGATATCCTGTCCTCGTTGATGTAAGTCAGCAGGTATTCTTCATTTTGGCTACAGATGATTATTTTCGTATGATCATGGTAGAAATTCACCTTTCAAAAGGAAACATAAATATTAGATCTCTACAGATATTCAAGAATTAGTAAAGTGTGTCCAATCATTAAATGGCTACCTGAAAATCACTTTTTGTGACCTAAACACACACTTTCCTGAAGGTTTTCGCTTACCTGAAAGGTGCCATCATTGAAGAGCATCATTAAGGCCTTATCAGATTTGAGCCACTGAAGGAGGTAGAGCCGAGGTCTTCGAATATCGGTAACACTAGGCAGATCACCACCCTAAAAGCAATTGGGAGAGTTAGTGCCCATAACAATTTTGCAGTTTGCACTCCATTCTTCTAGGCAAATGCCTCTCCAAGTTGAGCAAGCATCAGAATGTCCTGGAGATTCTTGGCCCCACCCCCCAGAGATTCTGATTCAGTAGAGAGCTAAGGTAGGACAAAAGCATGTGCACCTCTAAAAAGCTTCAGAGCTGTGCAGATGCCACTGGTCTGTGGACTACACTTCAAATATTACTGCTCAAACGCCACATCCAGGAGGTACTTACATCCATGAGGTTCTCCTCCATGTAATGAGAGAAGTATTTGAGCACCGTCACTTGACTAATGAATTGTTCAGGGGCATCTGTTGCTGGGAAAACAGAGCACTGGCCAAGCTCTGCGTAATAGTGAACTGTTCTGAAAAACAGGAACCATAGGGAGAGAGAAGAAACAAAATAGAGGCCATTAGTCACTGGTTTTAGATTTCTTGAGTGCAAGAATACAGAAGTGACAGAATCTCGTTAGTTGGACATACTTACTTTTTGTCTGGAAGGAGGCTCATGTGAGCACCATTGTTGAAAAGGACACCTACAGTGTGGTCTGAGAGCTGGTACCCAAAGCCATATTTGTTAGAGTAATCGACCCATTTGGTGACCCACTGAAAGGAAGTGCTCAGCTGCTCTTTGGGAATGCAGTCAGCTTCCGGCATGTTTTCTAGACATCCTCGAAGGACTCTTGCCACTGTGTCCGCAACACTTCCCATGGTACTGTCCTCGAGGCCTAGAAAGTCAGAGAAAGTTGTAAACTAATTAACAATAAAATCTTAGGCGTTGGTAACTTCTAACTTTCCCTCCACTACTTCTAAGGACATGAGGGACTGAAAATTGTTGCTCAGCTTTTTCCGATTCCTCCAATTTTGCTGGTACTGTGTAATTAGGCCACAAAACAAACTGACTCCAGTTACTTAGTATTAAGCACTGGCATTTATAGTCTCATTTAAAATGCCAATGACGGCAACTTACATTCGCTGCTACTGCTGCAGCTGCCAAGAGTGCCTCTGACTATCATGCGAATAGCATCTCCAATCTGCTGCTTATTTTCTACTGCAGGTGTTCCTGATCTGGCGACTGTAGTGGTAGGTGGCTGGAGCTCCTAGAAAAGAGAAGGGTCAGACAAGGAGTCAAACATCTAAAATTCATTTGAGGTTGAGAATTCTCAGTTAAGCTGAGATTGTGGCAACTGGTGGGAAAGCTTATCAAAAAGCAGTGGACACAAAAGATAGTTCAGTGACTCGAGTGCATGCCTCGTTAAACTAAAACACAAAATCTTTTAAAAGGTTCGAAGAAAAGCTTGAATCATGATCATCACATGCTTGAATCGTGATCACCATAACCCATGTGATAATTAACAAAGAAACAGAAATGATATAAAGTGTTTGTATCTATTTTATTCTTTTCCAGCATACCTCATCTGTCCTGTGTTTGCTGGGCTGCTGAGTTATTGAAGTCTTTTTCAAATCATGCCTAAGCTTGTAAATTTCTTCATCTTCTTTAGACACTCTATCTGTAAATCAAAGACAAGAATTATGAGCATTAGTCTGCTAACAAGGTAGGAACAGAGCTAGCCACATTTCCTCCTTTTGTGTTAGCAATCAGCTTATGAGCATTCAAGGCTAAACGAGCATTTTATCATTACCATCAGCTGCAATTAAGCAAGGAGCACACTTTAATGTGTACGGAAAAAAAAAAAGCTGTCCATCACATTTTTCAGTAGAGTTTTATCATACTATAAAAAGTTCAACAGTATTCAAACATACTGGCTGTTATGCTAACATAAAAACATTCTTTTAACTAACTTATCAGATTTAAACATACTGGATCCAGAAGAGCAGAAGAAGTCTTATAACTTACTATGTGTGTCAATGTATCTTGCTTTGTCTTTTTTGCCACCAAAAAGAGCAGCAGCTGCTTTCTTAAAGAAATTCTTAGCTGGGCTTGACAAGTGGAAATCTGGAACTGTATGACAGCAGCTGGAAGAGAGTCTGTCTGGAGTGAAGCCCTGCATAGTGTCAGAAAAGACTTTTCAGTAACCAGTTGGGTAACTGTGATCAAAAGCATGCAATAAAAAGACACAAGAAACATGCCAACCTGCAAAAAAAATTCATGTCGAATGATGTCATCCAAACTGGGACGATCCTCAGGATTTTTGGACAACATGCTAGCTATTAAGTGCTTAGCGGGAGCCAGCAACGACGATGGCATTGTATACCTGGCTTCTCTTATGCACCTGTAAGTTTCTTTCAGATTTGTCGTTTCAAAGGGGGGTCGTCCTAGTAACATTGTATACCTGTGTGCAAGATAACACTTCTTTAGGAATGGTCATAAAGTAACTCTTTTCGAATGTGAAAAAAATCTAAACCCAAATTTGCATTTTTGTCATTTTGGTGCATTTACTTACATTACACAACCTAAGGCCCAAATGTCTGATTCACAGCCGTGTCCTTGCTTGTTGAGGACTTCAGGGGAGAGATAATTTGGGGTACCACATATTGTTCTGGAAAAGCAAAATATGAAGGTCTCATTAAGAACTGTTCTACTGTTTACACTTAGTTCTCTGGATAAAACCTTAAGAGTGTTATGTTGAATTTCTATTTAGAAAAATTTGACTTTTGATTTTTGCCATCTCAACAGTTAACAGTTGACCAAGTGGCTTAATTATTTTTAATGCATGTACAATTGTTTTCAGCCACATGACAGTGTTTTTAAACCAACTGAGACCATGTACAGCAGAGCGTTTGTGTAACATTTCAGGCAAATATGAGACAGATTTGTTTCATAATCAACTTATAGGTATAAGGTCCTCTGCCTCGTCCACAGTGGGCACTTAGTGTTTCCATGGATTAACATCATTGTGGTCTGTGAATTTTAAAATCAGCTGACCCTTCTCCAACACATTAACTGGAAAATAATAAGAGCATATTTGGTCTCCGTAAAACCCTGTCAGGATGTATCTTTCTGACTCTTACCTCCTTCTGTGCTCCAAGGGTTCCAGCCTGGCTGCCAAGCCGAAGTCCCCGACTTTTAATTCCATGGCTTCGTTGATAAAGAAGTTCCCTAGATGGTAAAGAAAACAAAACCTCAATCCCCTTGAAAAGATGTTCTCACCAAATACACACACACACATCCTCTTTGGAGGGAGGCAGGCAGCCAGTTGTTGACTAGTAAAGTCACAGATTCAAAAGCAAGAGGGCACAGGCTAGATCCCAACTAGAAACACTAATACACAACGAGGGAGACAGGGAAGAAAAGAACACCTCTCCCTAACACGAAATCAGCGTTTGGAACAAAGGGCTTACCTAGTTTGAGATCTCTGTGTAGGATTTCTTGTTCATGAAGGTACTTCAGCCCAGACACAATCTGCCTGAGGTAGTATCGGACTTCTGGCTCCGTCAACACCTTCCTCGCTTTCAAGATATGAGCCATGGACTAGGAAGAGCGGAAGGAAAAAAGACAGCGTGTCAGAGTTATGGGCATCAGTAGCTGTCCTGCACAAGGTGCGTGATGAAAGTTAACCCTGCAGTAAAGTAACTGCCACCAGAGCAGAAGCCCCGATACAAGGCGATGTGAATGCCACACCAGCCGGGGGGCGCAGATGGACTGGGACAGGGGTCAGCGCTCACCCTTCGACTGCAGTACTCCAAGAGAATGTAAATGTTCTCTTTGTCCTCGAAGTAGTGGTAAAACTGCACTACATGCTTATGATGAAGGATTCTGTGAAGCTCTATCTCTTTGTCAATCTGAAAGAAAAAGCAGAACCAGGCTTATGAGCCTTCTGTCACCGCTTCCAAGCCAGCTGCTTACACACGCAGAAGACATTTTCTTAGCAGGGAAGGGCCATTCCTGCACACAAAGAAAATACTTTACTCAACAGTCATACACACCTTTTCCCTTTGATGAGGTTTGGCTACTCTGCTGTGAGGAATAATTTTTGCAGCATAGACTTTGTTGTTGGTCAGATCTGTCATCTCGTAACATTTTGCAAAGCCACCCTGAAAACAAAGCCGAGACAGCACTGAGTGTGGGAGAAAAACGGACAGTACATGTTTTTAAAAATGAATAAAAACTAGAAAGGAGCGCAACATTACGGGTGGCAGTGAGGGTGGAAAGACGTGTGCACTGTACTTTTTAAAAGCTCCCTCGCGAAGCCGAAAGCATTCCTGAAAACAGTGAACCGGTTCCCCTTCTCCCTTTACAAGAGGAGCTTTATGGAGGGGGTTGGGAACAGGGAGATGAAAAATAATGTCTGAAGAGACCTGTCAAGAAAATTCCCTGGGGGGCAGGCGGAGGAAGCCAGGGGCGCGAGCAGAAAGCCCTCGCTTCTGGCCTCCAGATCAATTTCTTGGGGCTGCGGGAGGCACTGAGAGCTGAGGCTAAGGATATAAAGGCAACCCGGCGCTGTCAGCGCACAAAAGCCAGAGCAGGGCAGGTGAATACCCACGACCCGCCGGGATCGGAGCCCCCGAGAAGCCAAAATGCGGGGACTCAGGGTCCGGCCGGCT